ACACTTATTATTACCTTTTAGTGAATAAAAAAAATGATGTCCACCATAAACAAGGAGATTACTTCAGGTTCTTTTTAGATAGCATAGATAAGGTTAGTTTTCGTTTTCTTACTGCTTTGTAGCCGATTTTCAGTGGTAACGCACTTTAAGTTGGAACGGCTACATTTATTGCGCGATCGATTACTCGAACATGTGTACCCGAACAGGATCTATACGTTTGATCTCTGCTATCTTCTATTTTAAGTAACATAAATGTAACCATAAATCACTAAGCTAAGTATATAATAGATTTCATTGGCAATTCCACGTGCCTTTTGCCAATGTAGGATTCCTTAACTGAAGGGATTTTGTAAATCGGTCCAGTAGTTTTTTTGTTACAAACGTTAAGATACAAATCTTTTCTCCTTATATCAGTAATATGATTACTTTTGTAACAAATTTTATTTTGTAAAGTTTCTCTCTCCCTCTGTCTTCTATATTGGTTGGAAAGGTTGGATTTAATATGATTTGTTTAAAGCATAACTTATTCCGAACGAATTTAATGCAACGGATTTTGTACAATAATTGTTACATACAACCGTGAGCGTAAACCATTACTGTTTATCGCTATCCGATACTGCCTCGTATTACTCGTTTCCTATACTATATGCTTTATGTTTTGTGTTGCAAATTTAGCCATAATTTAATGTATCGCAGCCACTAAATGCGATAGCAACGCATAACGTCATGGGTATTCAGTCCCGTAGTTTAGATTACTCCACTAAATCTGCCCTAATATAAATGCGAAGGTTTAGATGGATGGATGGATGTTTGTTAGGGTTTGGATGTAGAGGATAGTCTGAAGGGACATATAGGCTACTCACTTTTGTTTTTTTAATTCCATGCGGACGGAGTCGCGGACGAAAGCTAGTTGGCTAGTAAATGATTTCAAATGTAGCAGTAAAACATACTAATAGTTGGCTTCGTAAGCGCTTAAATCTGATAAACATCAAATTTTGTTAGGAATTTGGAGTTTAAGTATGGCATTATCATTTGAGACGCTGTCACATTTTTAAATGACGTTTCAATAACCTGCCCTTGTAAATTGATATCTACACATGGTATTGAGTTTTTTTATTTCTTTATTCCAGTAATGGCGTGAACGTAGAGGGCGCTACTCACAAGCAAGTGGTGGACCTGATCAAATCCGGAGGCGAATGTTTATCTCTTACTGTAATATCTGTCACACCAAAGGTAACTACTTCATCACGTAAAAAAGAAGTTTCCTAAAACCCCTTTTACTATCACGAAGTTATAGTCGCGTTTAGCAATCGTGAACAATAAAACAGATTTTTATAGATGAAGTCACGAAGTTATACCCCCTTAAAGTAAATATTAAAAACATTCAATCAGTCGTTAGCTCATTCCCAAGTCACGTGACAAATGTTACACTTGGAATACCACCGCACATGCTTAGATAATTAGTCGTAAAGTATTTCAGCGCCAAAAATAATGCATAACACTTGGCTACTTTTAACAAATTAACATTTTTAGAATTCAATCACAATACAACGGAACTGACTTCAAGATTGTTTTTCTATTTCCCTAATTCTTTCTTCTATCTCTCTCACACTCACAAACATCAAATAATTCCGTCTCTCAGGAGGCAGAGCGTCTAGAGCCGGGTGATGAATCCGCACCCATAGGTGTGATCGGGGGCGCGACCAACTCCCGATCAGCTGT